CCCCAAAACCCCAAAACCCCAAAACCCCAAAACCCCTTGTTTTATAAATAAGGTTGTAATTTATTTTATAAAAATGTTGTCCAAAACATTTTACAAATCCACCCAATTGTGGAGGTTCGGAGTCAGATGAATGAACACCAAACCTGATGATTTCACTGCTCGTCGCTCTCCTCGAGAGTTTGCTAAGGAAAGCATGGAAAGAAGCTACTTTGATTCCTTAAGAGAACACAGACAAGGCCTCAAGAGTTATTCTGTAGAGGAACTTGAACATTTGAAGGAGAAAGAAGTAGTTGATGTCCAGTATCATACAGAAAAGCCAAAGAAATTCCTCTCTCAAGAACAAAAGAATATGATACATAAGGAAGTAGACCTCAAGATGCAGGAATTAGAAGACACTGGCTTGACCAGGTTTGAAATTCTTTATAATGATGAAAGAGGGATTCCTCTGGCTGATGATCCAGTGTTCCAATATCTTAAAATCAACATTATTGCACGGGAAATGTTGATCAAAGATGACGAGCCATTTACTGTGGAGAATATTATTGATAAAGCTCTGAGACAGGACCTTGAGCCAGATCCATCCATTAGCAAGAAAGGATATTTCAGGCACTCTAAACGTGATGATTTTGATGAGAAGAGGCACTACAAACAAATGCTCGGAAACAAGCATCACCTCATGAATGAAGAGAGTTACATTTATGGATATGATACTTATGAAAAAGCTCTGAACCTTGGTCCAGGAAAGCATGTAGAACATGAGCCTGTTAAAGACTGGAGACTCAAAAGAAAGCTTGACCAATTGGAATGGGAATCTGAAAAACCTCCTGCCTTTATGAACAAGCCTCTTAGAAGAGAAGATGCGAGGAAAAAGTTTATGAGAAAGGCAAATAGCAAAGATTTCAATTGGAAAGACACTGCTGTTATCACCCAATTTTTAACTGATGCAGGAAAGATTAAAAATAGGTATCAGACTCGTCTGAGCGATCAAGTTCAAAACGCTCTTGCTAGAACAGTGAAAACTTCCAGACATATGGGTCTGATCCCATATGTTGGAATGATAAAGCCTACTAACAAAATCTCTTTGAGGTCATTCCAAGAGGACCTTGAAGACTTTAACAAAAAGTCTATTGACCCTATCACAGGTAAATTATTCTACTCGAGCGCTCAATCTGATTTGAGTCAGAGGTATGCCAAGCCAAAGGGATTAGGAAGAGAGACTGCTAAATATAAGAACAAGGACTTGAAGATTGACAACATGCCTATCGTCCTAAATGAAAACCAGATGCAGTGGCTCGAAGCACAGGGATATTCAGTTAAGAAAAAGGAAAAAGAAGGCAGAAAGATCCAAGTTGGCGTTGCTAAGGACACTACCCAGTCTGAAAAGGATGAGCCTGATTACGTCGGTGGCGAAGTCGTGTATGATGGCATCAGAGAAACACTTGATAAGAGTCTTACCCTCGATGACCTCCCAGACTTCTTCATTAATGAAAAAGCTCATTTGAATGTTGCTAAAAACAAGAGGTAAAATAAATGAAATAAGCGAAATGGACCAAAAGGGGTTTTGGGGTTTTGGGGTTTTGGGGTTTTGGGG